AAATAAATAAAATCTTTAAAAAAAAAAAAAAAGCTATCATCCACCGGCTTCACATTGGATCTTTTGCTCTATGATGCTGAGGTTGGGACTCTGCAAAGTATATTTATCTTTGGCCAGCTGGCTCCCTTTTAGGCTTTGCCAATAGTTGTGCTAGAAGGAGGGTGGAGGAGAGAGAAGAGACTTGCTCTTTCCTGTTTTTCTTCCTGTTCCCAATACAGTCAGACAACCTCTCTTGACTGGCAGTGGCAGTTAATCCTTGGTCCTAGCGTTTTCCAGCCTTTCCAGAACCAGCTTCTTGTGCTTCTCAGATGTACCAACACCACGAGGTCCTTCTCTGAGGCAATAGTACCAGCTGAGCAGCTCCCTCACTTCCCAGCTCCAGGTTCTAAAAACTCCAGCCTCTTGCCTTTGCTCTCCCACACCCCAGATTCGGGAGCTCCTTCCTGCAGTAACTCTCCATGTGACTTTTGTGTCCCCTTTTACCTTTTTGGGTCCTTTGACAGTTGTTTAATCACTTCTCTATATTACATTCTCTCATTCTGTCAGGTAAAATAGCTGGTGTGGCATCTGTTTTCCTGACTGAACCCTGACTGACATATCTGTATCCTGATAGGTATACAAATGGAATAGAAAACAGGGAAATGTGATCCAAGCTATGATAGGAAAAGTGGTAAATACACTAAAGGGTATTAAAAGTTATTTCAACAAAATCAACTTGGCTCCATAGAGACAGAAAGTAGATTAGTGGCTGCCAGGTCTGTGAGGGTGGGTGAATGAAGAGGGACTGCTAATGGGTATGGGGATTCTTTTTGGGGGAGATGATAATGTTCTGGAAATAGCAGCGATGGTTGCACTACTCTGTGAATATACTAAAAACCAATGAATTGTGTACTCTACAAGGGTAACTTTTGTGATATTATATTGTGAATTATATCTCATTAAAAAAAAATCAATTTGACGGTTTTCCAGTCTGTCCCTGGCCTGCCCTTCAGTTCAGTCTGTTCTTCACTGAGTTCTAAGAATGGTCCATGAAGAAAGGTCTGACCTCTTTTCAAAATCTCGGTCCTCCAAATGGGCCCCAAATCTCACGCCTTCTTGCCTTCTTGACAACTTTCCTCCCCCAGTCTTCTTCCCTCTCTTCTCAATCTTCATTTTTCCCCTCCACCAGACCCCTCCTACTAGCAATCTAATACGTTCTATTATCTTTTCCTTGCCAACAAACAAAAACTTTCCTACACCTCCCTCACTTCTCATTCACAACCAAACTTCCCATGCATGCTGCCTTCATTTTCCCATCCTTCATTTCCCATCTCCATTTGTTTTCCCCAATTCCTGGCTCAAATTTTTTCTGACATGAATTATTATTTTTAATAACTTTATGGAGATATGATTCACACAACATACAATATACCCATTTAAAGTGTATGATCCAGTGGTTTTAGTTTATTCACAGAGTTGGGCAACCATCATCATAATTTTAGAACATTTTTCGTCTCAACTCTTCCAGCCCTGGGCAACCACTAATCTGTTTTCTGCCTCTTTAGAGTTGTTTATTTTCCATGCTCATCTGAAGTGGCTCTCACCACTGTCATTCCAGTGTTAACCACTGTGTTGAATAAACCAGAAAGGATGGAATGAATGAGTGATGGAACCAGGTGGGAAGAGTTGGTAGAGTGGAGAGGGGATCAGAGAATATCTTCAGGTTGGAGGAGGAACACCATTTCTTCTGAGACTAAGAAAAGATGAGGATGGGTTCAGATACACACGAAGTGGGATAAATGAGAGCGAGAGACTTAGAAGTAGCTCTGTCAATCCAGTAGCCAAGAAAGGAACACGTGAGGGCAGTACATGAGAAATATGGGACTTTCTGAGTCTTATCTGGACAGAGGTTTGCATAGACAGGCTCAAGTCCCTTTGCAGAAGTGGGTTTGAAGGCCCACGTTGGCTGCTTCCATTTATTTTTCTCTTCCCTAAAATGTATGGACATTATAGATATGTCAAAAGACCTGTTCAACTTTATAGGTCAGTTTTCTTTTCTGAATTTAATTAGTTCTTAATTTCTTCCCAAAGCCTATTAGAAAAGTTCAGAAAGAGCACAGGTTTTAAAATCAGACAGCACTGGTTTCAAACTCCTATGTTCCCCAGCTGCTATGTGACCTTGGACAAGTTGCTGATTCTTTCTGAGCCTCAGTTTTCTCATTTGTGAAATGGGGACAATAATATTACCTATCCCAAGTGCTCGTCATTTAGTTAAATGAGTTATTACATGTAAAGCTCTTAAATTGATGCCTGGCATAAGTGAGCACCATGCTCACTTTAAAACCTTATTTCGTTTGAATCTCAAAGCAACTCTTTGGATTGTCCTTTTTTGAAACTACTTCTCATTTCCAACTTTTGACATCCTTATCTCTCTTGTTCGTCAGCCTTCTTTTTTTTTTAAATTTCTTTCTTTCTTTTTTTTTTTTTAAGTAAACTATATACCCAACATGGAACTTGAACTCATGATCCCAAGGTTAAGAGTCATATGTTCTACTGACTGAGCCAGCCAGCTGCCAGTCACCATATAAATGTGAATGTAGATGTCTGTGGGTGATCAAATCAGATAAAAGTCAAAGACTATGAGTTTTTCTTTTTCTCTCCTCCTTTTCTTTGCTTGGGCCTTAGCAGCTATGCCTTTAGCTTTGACAGTTTTGGATCTAAAACATTATGCTATTGGCAACTCTCTAGTCATTTTCAAGTGGTGTTAATTATACTTTTAGAAATTAAAGTTATCTTAATAATTTTTACAGCATTTTTAAGCACCTGTAAATTAATAGTCATTGCCTTATTTAATAGACGTACACAAAAGAATGGGCTGATGTTCTAAACCACAAAAGTAAGCATGTGGAAGAAGCTGTCAAAGAACTTATATCAATATTTGAAAATATTTATGAAGTTAAGTACAGTGGGAAAACAGCAAAACCATTACCAGGTAATTTTGCTAGTTATAATGCTTGAGTTATAGTATTATAATCACAAGAGTGATAGATATGTTCTCAAGTGGGTGCCTTCTGCTTAGCAGGTACCCAAATTCCAGACTCTCTGAAGGAAAGCGTGTGTTCAGCATACACTACATCATTTGCGCAAACTACTTAGGCACAGGGAACTTTTTTATCAGCTAGAGAATGGTGGGAATCAGATGCCAACGAAGGACCAATGTTGCAAGCAAGTGTCAGGCCTGCTGTGTTGATCTTTCTCTCTCTCTCTCTTTTTTCTTTTAGCGCAGCATGCTAAAATGTCTGGAGACATTTTTGGTCGTCATGCAGCATGGGGGATGCTGCTGGCATCTAGTGGGTAGAACTCAGGGATGCTGTTGAACAGTCTACAGAAGGACAGCCTTCAATAACCAAGAATATCAGTAGAGCTAAGGCTAAGAAACTATGAGCTTAAATAACTATCCACAGCCTTGGAACTAGAGGGTATTATGCTAAGCGAAATAAGTCAATCAGAGAAAGACAATTACCATGTGATCTCACTCATATGTGGAATTTAAGAAACAAAAGAGAGTATCATAGGGGAAGGGAGGGAAAAATAAAACAAGACAAAATCAGAGAGGGAGACAAACCACAAGAGACTTTTTTTTTTTTTTAGATATTATTTATTTATTTGACAGAGAGAGAGACAGCTAGAGAGGGAACACAAGCAAAGAGAGTGGGAGAGGGAGAAGCAGGCCTCCCGCCGAGCAGGAAGCCCGATGGGGGCTCGATCCCAGGACCCTGGAATCATGACCCAAGCTGAAGGCAGACTCCTAACGACTGAGCCACCCAGGTGCCCAAGAGACTCTTAATCATAGGAAACAAACTGAGGGTTGCAGATGGGGTAACTGGGTGATGAGCATTAAGGAGGGCATGTGATGTAATGAGCACTGGGTATTATATAAGACTGATGAATCACTGAACTCTGCCTCTGAAACTAATAATACACTATATGTTAATTAATTGAATTTAAATAAAAAATTAAGTATCCACAGCCTGCCTTTTTTCTCTTAGAGTTTTTCTACATAGTTTAATTAGCTTTCTTCAGAAGTGTCAAAACCCCCAAATATCAGCTCATTAAGTTAGAATACTCAAAAGGTAAACACATATTTTAGAAAGATAATATGTAAAGCCTACTTAAAATGTTTATTAATTCTATATAGGAAGAAGGAGTATTTTTTTTTTTTTTAAGATTTTTATTTATCTATTTGACAGAGAGAGACACAGCGAGAGAGGGAACACAAGCAGGGGGAGTGGGAGAGGGAGAAGC